CCTGTTTAAGAAAGTTTCCAATGCGAATTGAAAAAACACATCGCATGGATCAACACTTGCGTCTATATTTTTTAAAACACTAGACGCTGCATGAATACAGCCTGGAGTTAAACATAAGTTTGACATTTGGTTGGAAGTCGTAACTGAAGCCACCAATGTTATATTCATAGCTACACTTACAATTAGGTAATTTTTCATACTTATTCTCATCTTGCACAGTGATCCATTTCTAAGAAGACCCAAAATTTTTTACTGGAGATCGCTCCGCTTGTAATTAAACTACACACTTATATGGTACATCATTCTACATTACCCGCACTCAACAAGGTAGTCATAACTCCTATAAAATATGGCGGCAATGGGGTTGACGAATGTCATGCTCTTCACCTGTTATACAGTAATTCAGGCACGGAAACAAGAAAACAATTCGAAATAACTAAGCTAGGATATTAATTGACAACTGGAAAGCAAGTTTTGTATGTGATGAACCAATTACAAAAGTTTTTTCATTTTGAAGTTTTCGCATTAAATTTATGGTAATGAACAAAGATTTACGTGATTATGTGAATTGCTTATTCAAAGTTAATGGACCATAATATTATAGTACCAACTTTGTTTTAGTACCTACCAATTAGGGATTCTTAATTTTACAATTAAGACTTTGAATTTTTATGTCTGTTAGACCTAGTGCCATATAACCCTTTCAAAAACTTCCAAAAACTAGCGCAGTTTTTAGACCTAACGGGGGTAGAAGCAATTCTTCCACGAGTCACCATTGCACTCTGATCTAGTACACTCTTCCAACATCTGGTACATTTTCCTATTCAAAGTATTTACACACCTCTACACACAAGAATCAACTTAACAAAGAATGAGAAAAAATCACCAACACCTTTTGTTTGGACCCGCTTATAATTCTTAAAAAATATACAAATTTGTTCACGGAATAAACTTCCGTGGGTCGACTACTTTAGGAATGTTAAATTGACTTTGAGCATAAACTCCTTTACAAACACACTGAAAAAAATTCAAATAACTTACGTTGATCGATGCGTTGGACTTTTCTCCAATTTACAGTAAGTATATTTTCTTCTTTTGAAAGAATAATAATAATACATATTCAGGCTTTACATACATGGAGTACTTACACATCGCCAAAAATATCACAGTCACTTATCTAAACAAATATTTAGAAGTATCACAGGTAAAATCAAAAGTATCTAGGGATGGGCGATAACTGTTTTCACCTATCGATAAGTATCGGGTACTTACCTATCGATATATTTTACTTATCGATATGTCGATAATTATCGAAATATCGATAGTTATCGATATGTCGATAGTTATCGATATATCGATAAAGTTATCGATATATCGATAGTTATCGATATTTCGATAGTTATCAATATATCGATAGTTATCGATATATCGATAGTTATCGATAAATGATTACTATCGATAGGTGTCGATATATCGATATGTCGATAGTTATCGATATATCGATATGTCGATAGTTATCGCTAGGGATGGGCGATAACTGTTTTCACCTATCGATATAAGTATCGATATATTTTACTTATCGATATGCTGATAATTATCGAAATATCGATGGTTATAGATACACCGATAACTATCGAAAGATCGATAACTACCGCTATATCGATAAGTATCGGTATATCGATAGTTCTCGTTATGGCGATAGTTTTTAATATATAGGTATCGATATAATATTACCGGTAATTTTTTTGAAAGCGTGTCTAAAAACTGCATGAGTTTACTTTTATATTTTGGCGAAAGAGCCCGACAAGACAAGAGGGCTCTTTTAACAAAATATGAAAATAACCGAATGCAGTTCTTGCAACTTTATTGGAGTTACCATATTAACTGTGCAATTATCGCAGGGCTCTTTAGCTTTCTACAATGCAATTACCGCTGTAATTAAGCGGTAATTGCACGTCTCATTTGAGAGAAATATTCGACGTATCGATAGTTATCGACAGGGATAGTTATCTTATCGAGTTTTATTAATAAAATCCATTTTCCGGTTTATTCTCGTGTAAAGTGACTATTAATAGTTACCTACTCGACGTTTCTTTGCTACCTTTATCAAGAGTTTTTTGTTAGATTTCGTAAATGTCAATCAATTGAAACTGTATATCTAAATTTGAAGTGTTCTTAGCTTTTTCTGTTTTTTTGTGACTGGTCCTCTGTAACCATCAGTCAGATACCGATACATAGACCATGATTACACCCTTTGATTGTCTTCTTTATTTTATCTTTAGTAGCCATTTTGATGCAACATTTTGTTCAAGTTTTTGAAGTGCTTCTTTTTTTGAGCAATCGTCAGTAAGACGAAAAGATCTATTTTCTAAAGATTTTATTACTGCGTTTATTTGGCATGGATGATGATGTGACGTAGCGCTTCTCTTGAGAAAGGGAGCAAAGTTAACTTTCCGAAACGTCGAGCGACTAAAAATAGTAAATTTACACGAGAGTAAACCCGAAAATGGATTTTATTAATAAAAATAGTAGCGCTCGTTGAAATCTCAACAATAACATAATTTTATCGTACCAATAGTTATCGACATATCGATATATCAATAGTTATCAATATATCGATACATCGATAATTATCGACATATCGATATATCGATAGTTATCGACATATCGATATATCAATAGTTATCGACATATCGATATATCAATAGTTATCGACATATCGATAGGTATCGATAACTATCGATACCTATCGATATATCGAAAAAAATTCCCATGCCTAATTTGTATCATTATTGGAAACATTATCGCAGGAAAACTACTGGTTTCAACTTGACGGAGAATTTAACACGGGACTCAACGCATTTTTCTTCTGCGATCTTGACGCATTTTCCGTGAAGCATGAGAAAATTGATTAACGGTTTTTTACAAAGTACTCAAAGCCCCAAATCGTGAAATTCGCATAGCGTTTGCATCCTTTTCGTGTGCTATTTTTTAATGAAAAGATTCTGAAATTGTTTCCCTTTTAGAACAGTAATTTACTCGACAACGGTAATACCACGTTGAAAACACCGGTTCTGGTCTAACCGAAGTTAAGCAACGTTGCGCCCGGTCAGTACTTGAGTGGATGACCGCATGGGAACAGCTTTTTTAGCGCATTTTTGCAAATTTATTTGTAAAAAGTAGCTTTTAATCTCACTTTGGCTGGGTGGCTGGCAGCAAATGTGGGCGCGTAGAAGAACCCTTGTAGAAAGGCAACCGGGTGTACGTGTACAAGGCCGTGTGATTTGTCAACCTTAGGGACAGGACTACATGATGTGGGGTTGGCCACATCTGGGGGCCATCCTCGGGCGTAGTTCTTCTACTACAGTTTTGGTCCGATTCTGTTCAAATTGGTGTCGTCGAAACTCAAAAAGGTGTTGTAAAGGCGCATAACTCCTGCGTGGCGGAATTTTGTTTTTTGTCCTAGGGGCGAAATTAACAACCTTTTGCAAGGCGCGCGCGCGCGTCTTCGAGAGCTAGTCAACTTCGGGCGCCAATTAATATAGGTAGGTATACCTTGCTCAAGCTAAGAAACTAAAAATCGTGCAAGCTAAATATCTAGGTCACCTATGCATTTTTGCCCTCGTAAAACCCGAATTCTACCCTATATAGATATGCGATTCCCATACCTCCGACAGATTCGAATTGTAGGTACACGTCCTGTATGTCAGTTTCAACTATATCCCTAAAGGTACGTACAGTGCAGTACGTCAAACATGTTCACCCCAATTTTCTTCCTGACCATGAAACTACACTTTAGGTCATGATCGAGCTGAATTTGATATTTTTAATTTTACATAATCATGACTAAAAGTTGGTGGTATTTGGAGGCATTTTTGGGCATGTTAAAGATTCATCAAATGTCGTTTTAGATCATTTTAAGCAACTTTTAAAGTACATAAATTTTTTTCCGTCTGTTGTATTGTAGGTACGTACGTAGATGTAAATAGTATTTTGGATACATCAGGTATACGGAAACGAAAAATAACAGACCGGGATTTAAAAAAAATGTTAGAGCGACATAACGGCATCGATCTTTTTTTAAAAAATAACAGAATTTTTATTAAAATATTTTAAATGCCTTATTTTTCTGGGTACAACATTGTTTAAAATTTAAACAATGGTACAACCTACAAAAATTGTGCCAGATTTTATTACCTACTTACAAAAAAACTGAGAAAAAAATTTGCAAGTTGAAAAAGTAAATTTTTTTTCGAATTTTAAGAAACTAATTTCAGATTCGTTTTTTTCATGTTCAAAAACCCCCAGATACCAAATTTCGTCGAAATCAGAATTTTTGTTCGTATGCCCGTTTAGGGGTGCGCTCTTTCGTGGTAGGAATTTTGAACAATTTTTTCAAAGTCGAAAAGGGCTTACCCCAAAACCTATTCACAGAGGTGCCACCAATCTTTCTAACTGCTATGGTTGCTGAGAAAAAAATTAAAGAAATGCAAATTTTACCATTTTTTGAGAGTGGCTCCCAAACAAAGCACGTTGGACCTTCGGTTCATTTGGAAAAAGTGCTTGTTTTAATCCCCTCTACCACCTTATTTTTTTTTACACACTTTAAGACCCTGTAGTTTGTCCCTGTGTCTTGTAAGGCACAAAAGTTTTAAATCTTTCAATAATTACTTTGTTGTTGGATCAATAAATTTTATGAAAACTGATTCATTATTGTTACACTTAAGTCAGATATTAATCTTCCATTACGTATTTTAGGAGAAAATTTTTTTTAAACTGTAAAGGAAATACCTAAATACCAAATGCAAATTTTGAAACTGGCTTTCAACCCGGAATTTTGAAAAATGTTTGTCCCCTCCTCTACTCAATCTTTTTTAACATACTACCCATCATGAAGCTTCACTTCCTGGAATTGTACCTTTTTCTCCCAGGTTCTGAACAGCTTGAGCAAAACTTATAAACCAACTTAGTACACTTGATAAGGGTAAAAAAGGACAAACAAAGGTAATACAAGCTTTATTGAACTACCTTAATACAAATCATTAAAAACATTGGACTTAGGCCTACTTTTGAGCACTCTGGGCACTTTGCGTACTCGACTTGCTTTCTCTTAAACTGGCAGACCTACGTCGCTTGGCTTCCAATCTCTTAGCCTTGGTTTCCTTCCTAAGTTGGGCCATCTTCTTGGCATAAACATCAGCTTGTTCCTTGCGTTTCAAGCAGCGCTTCTTCTTGAGAGCTAAACGATGACGTTTTCTCTAAAGAACAATCACATAAGCAAACACGAAGACATGTTAAAACGTTCGTACCTGTAATACAGCTGGAGTAATCAATCGCTGAATTTTGGGTGCCTTGAATCGTGGTTTCTTGCCATCCTTCTGAGGCAGGGGTCGTTTCACTACGTACTGACGTACATCGTCCTCCTTGGTCAAGTTGAACAGCTTGCGAATGCGAGAAGCCCTCTTAGGACCCAATCTGCGTGGGACAGTGGTATCGGTAAGTCCGGGAATTTCCTAGAAATAGAAAGGTTTAATTACACATCTCGCATCATACTGCTGCAACATACCTGTTCGCCTTTTCGAACGACAACTAAGGCCAATACACTCAGATTAGCGTCCACGATACATCCTCGTACTGATTTTCGTTTTCTTTCACCTGTACGACGTGGTCTGTAGCACGAGTGTCCTTTAGATAGTAACAAACGAACACGTCCTGCAATATCCCCATGTGTAAAATGTTAAAGCGAATTGTATAGTAATACCATTTGTGAGGACACCTTGCTTCATCGGAAAGCCTTGCTTGTCATTACCCCCTGCAATTTTAAGAACGTAGCCCTTCCATTCATCGCCTAGTGGGTCGGCTTCAAGCTCTGCGCCCATACGTTTCTCATAAAACATACGCAGCTTATGCTCGTCAACAACTTCAAACAGCTTTTGGCAACCCGTTGCCGGGAAAGACACGTTTAGCTACAATATAAAGATACTACATCAAGCAGCTATTGGCAAGGTTTCATTATATTTATTGAGTGGCACAAACACATCGTAATGAGATTATCCCTAACGATTAAAACGAGAATGAAATGAAATTTTAGGCGTGCACATGCATTATAACCTCAAATTTGCACTTCCGTTACAAATATTCAACTTTTTTCGTAAAACATATTTCAGCTAACGCAGATTAATATTAGTGAAGTTAATAAATACATAATTAAAAATCTATATACTTTATCCAATTACCTTCATTTTTTAATACATATGCTTTTGCACGTGTATATTAGGAGCACAAACGAAAAGGAACCTTTTTACGTGAACGTTGGTAACGCATGCAGTTTTAACATTGACTGGTTGGAAGTGGTTACGGTATCGCAAGTCGCAAACGTATCGATCGAACGCTACGAATTTGAAGTGGGAGAAGCGGATTTGATGAAAAATTGCGCGTGTTGTAGACTAATAAAAGTAGACGTAGATAATTTACTTTAAATTTATTTCACATTTAGGAGTTATTTGTCATGTTGTTTGTCTGTTTTACTGCTTCGAAAGTAAATGCATCACATTTCATTTAGTCGAATAAAAATAATTCTTTTCACTGCGTCTGACGTTGCTACGGACACGTATTTGGACTGAATTTTTTGTAATACATAACGGGCGATCAAAAATGAGTTGCTGTCGAGTCGCCTTTGGAAGTTAAGTATGATATCCCATTTAACACAAACATTCCAAAGATGTATCGACAGCAACTCAGAAACCACATACATTTTAGGTATTATCAAAAACTCTTTAAAATTAGTAATTTTACTATCGCTTTTTTATATTATACAGCCCTTCCATAAAAACGACCACAGTTCGATGTTAATAAACCAAAAACTGCATAAAATAATTACATAAGTGCCATATAGATTCCCCGTAAGTTCAGTCATATTAGAATGTAAATAGTCAACTGTTTTTGGCGTTTTTTTTAAATAAATGAAGGTATGCCAGGCAGCTTGAGATTTTGTTGCCTTAACTCCTCATATTATTCATCAAACATGCTGTTTCGGACTGTATCAAATTTTGCATACGCATGCCTCCACTGGAGCTTTTGAAAATGGGCGCGGGGGTGGGTTAATGAATGGTATCTTCGGAAATTGTTTATTTTTAGCAACTAAACTGCTTTTTGCATGGCCAGCAAGTAGGTTCATAATGTTTACGATTTGCGTAAATGAAATCTACCTATAGCTATATAATACACAATGCTCAGGAAAACATGCAAACCTATATTCTCGATCCGATCCACATTCTGCAGAAACCGTTCAACCTAGATATAAGAGGGCGTCTTTATTGTTCACTATACACAAAAAAGAAGTTGGTTTCCATTTATAAGAATTAAGTTTTTTACATTTTCAAAACTAAGGACTTTAACATTAATTCCCGAGCACCCTGTCTAAATCTATTGAACAGTTTTTATATATTGGGTCAGGACCCAGGTACGGATTTTATTTATGCGAATCATAAATATAATGGGTATATCGTACTTGTATTCCGAAAGGCAATTTATTTTGTACGGGCTACATTTGCTCAAAATTTCAAAAAATCTCAAATACCTAATTGACATCGTTGGGTTTATGCCTATGACGAATTACACAAAATATTTCTTCCAAATTTAATGTAAACTTGAAAGATTATTATAAATTATGTTATCTATAAGAAAGAGTATTCTCACTGAAACGAGATAATTGAATAACACTTATGTACGAATTTTCAAAAATCTAATCACGTTAATTTGCAATATAACACCCGCCGATTCAGCTCGACGTTGGGCAATTGGACATTCTGTACAGTGTGTTGTTTAAGAAATGATAACATGAAGTAAAACCAATTAAAGGCGACATTGTTGTTCATTTCAAGTGCCAATACACTATTAATGCATCAGGGTATCCCAGGCCGTGAGCATTTTCGAGGTAGATAAATTGCAGGTTCTAAAAGTTTCATTTAATTCAAAATTGTGTACTTTAAACATATGATGTGCACACATCAATCCATCAATTTTTGTTAACGCCATTTGGAAAAATCAAGACAAGACAAGAACTAAACACTGGGTATTTTTCTTTTTTTCTGAAATCTGAATCCCATTTGTGCTTCCTCCAACATCATATCCACTCTTGTATTTCGCTTTCTAACCTTTCATTTAATACCATTTCATAGATTCTGTACGCTGTCATCGCCATTATCGTGATTCCGAATTATTAACCTTTCTTTCCATTTTTACGGTAGTCCCTCTCCGTTTCATATCTTATATAAAAGTTTCCTCATCTTCTCCATGATACTGTCTGTGGCGAAAATTCAAGCCTTATTTCCTATATCATCCCTCTATCATTCTTCAGTCTCTTTAATTGTTGCTCCTTTCACCTCTCCCTCCCCCAAAGATATACAATTGCAGTTCCTTTGAAAATATGGATCGATTTGTGGCAATCATATAAGAATAGCAGAACAAAGCTAATTTGTGTAATGTGTGGGCATGGTGTCTTTATTATACACCATGCGTGGATTAATTTTTTTTTAATTTTCAGGTTTAAATTTGTTTTTTTCAAATATTTTTAGTTTCTGATTTTTTAAATAACAATATCTGATGTGTCTGATAAATATGAATGGTTATCTACTATTGGAGTTGGAGTGATTGGCAATGAAATATGGACATGCGGCAAATTGCGGCAGCGCGCCCGTTCGTGTAACTTCGAATTGCGCGCCCACCGAAGGGTTAATAAAGTGTTGCTTCTAATCGTCTATTTGTATTTCTCTCCCATTTGTTCTGATTTTTCCCTTTTCCTGTGCTCATCATCTTTTAAAAGTCGTTCTCTGTTTTTATTTCCTTAATTTGTTCTTCGTATTTTGTACGTTTCTCCAGGTTGGTCTCTTTACATTTTCTTTTGTACTTTTTTTCTGTTCTCTCATATCCTTTATTCCTCATTTTCTTTCTTTCTCTATCATTATTAACAAGCTCCTAGCGAGTTTATAATTTTGCTGTGTCTGTCCGTCTGTCCGCCCGTCCGCCTGTCCGTCCATCTATTCGTCCGCCCGTATTTAAATGAGAACACCCCATTTGGATAAAATTTCTTGTCATCAACGGAACGTTAATAATGGTGCACTCGCACACATAATTAGAGAAATTTCTCATCGATTGTATCAATATACATTAGCAATCAAGGCTCTCATCCTGTTGTGTTGTTGTAGGGGGTCATGTTAAGAATAAAATGCATGTTTCACCCCCAAATAAAAAATTATCGAAGTGAAATCGAAGAGGCTCCGCGCATTTTTGAATGGCAGATTAGTATTCCATTACGTTTGATGAAGTTTTCCATTGTGTATATATTAGATTTAATAAAAACGAGTTAGCTTACGGTGTTTGCTAATATATAATTTTTTTTAAGTATTCCATTAGTCAGTTTTGACCCCATCGAAAACGTGCGCCTTGCAAAAGGTGGTTAACTTTACACAAGTTGTACATCAGCATATGCATGATTAAAGCGCATTTTTTGGTAATATCGCGAACAGTATTTTATTAGCAAAGTATAGAATTATTGATTTCACGAGTAATCTAACTCAAAATAGACAAAGCAGAAAGCTTTTAGTGAATATTTGAAGTCTTTAGCTATTCTAATTGCTGAGATCTCAGCCGGACAGTCAGCCAACCAACGAATATAATAGCCTATTTTTTTGAATGCGCAAAGCCAAATTTCGTCACGCAGGAGTTGTGCGCGTTTATAAGATCTCTTCGACAACACCAATTTGAAAATAATCGGACCAAAAGTGTAGAAGAGGATAGGGAACAACAAAAATCAGCACGTTAGTATAGCACGCTCGGGGATGGTGAGCAGATGTCGCCGACCCACATCATAAATAGCCCCGTCCCTAAAGTTGTTAGTTACACGGCCCCGGTAGGTATGTATATGTCGTAGTCTTTTAGTGAAATCCGTCATTTCACGAAACGCCTAGTCCGAGGCCTAGTCATTTAGTGAAACGCTGAAAATTTGTACGTGTGGGGTAATTTCCCTTCCCCTTCTAGATCGATAAGGATACCATTTATCGATCTCTAATGGGAAGGGAATCCAATCGCTTGATCCTGGAAAGTAAACTGTTCCACAGTTTCATATAAATGACTAGGCGTTTCGTGAAATGACGGATTTCACTAAAAGACTACGACATATACACTCGTCTTCTTTCTACAAGTGTTCTTCTATGAGCCCGCATTTGCTGCCAGCCAGCCGGCCGGCCGGTCGGCAAGAGTGAGATTAAAAGTTATCCTTTTTACAAATAAATTTACAAAATTGCACTAATAGCGGTCCCCCAGGAAGCAGTTGATTGGCAATGAGAATGAAATGTTCGTTTGTAGAATTGTAGCTTCTCAACGAATTAAGAAACAGATGTTTACGCATCCATCTGGTTGTATCTATAGAGTTTAGTTTTTTAGCGCATTTTTAAGAAGTAAAAAATGTGCTAATGTTTGCGTTTGATCCGTCCGTCTGTACATACGTCCGTTTGAACCCTAATCTGTGGTTTTTAACTACTTTCAGCGGAATTTTCCTGGAATTTTTTTGTCATAGTTAGCCTATACCTTGAAGGTGTGCCAGACGGCCATCAAATTTTGTTGTTTCCCCCCCCCCCCTGTATTATTTCCTGAGATATTGTTTTCGTACAACGTGCATGCATGGTGCCAAGTAAACCTTTAGACAAATCTATTGGTAAAGTCTTGAAAACGAAAGTATCTGGACGAGACACATCTACTGGTGATATCAAAAGTATGCCTATGTTTATTAAAATGTGACATTGCAGGAATTCTCACATTTTGAACACAGAACTTTTCCGTGGAACTGAGAAGGGATCGAGTCACTCTCGTTTAAAATCGTCACAACGGAGCATTCGAATCAGTATAAAACTATTTACATCGTTATAAAAGGACTATGTGATTGTTCCAGCCGCATCAAGGATTCCAATCAGGGATTCTATCTTGTAGAGCGTTTTAACAGCCTGTCTGTTTTAGATGGATTCAAAAATCATAAAATGTGGTATTTTTCACGTCCTTTGTACGTTCCATTCGTATATACATGCTATTAATATTTCATGGGATATCCCACCCTAGAGCTATTACTATTTCGATGATTTTATACGCTATTTCATTGCAAGCAATCGATTTCTAAACTTCAACTGTAACACCAAAGATATTAAAGAAATTGTTGTTTTCAAAGTTAGGTCACTATCGTTATTTTAACTACAATGTGTCCAAACTTTTGAGACATAGGTACGTTGTTGTTACCGCAGAAGGTTGTCTCTGACATTATTCACTGTCTAACACATTTCCATTAGAAAGTGTGACTCGGAAGGAAACAGAAAATAACTGGGACGCGT